TAAAATAGGTTCTTATTTTCTAAAATCATATAGTACATTACAGGTACACTGAAATTACTTACTGTAATAGATGTAAATATACAAATTTATATTATTTCCCTTTTTGTGGGAAGGGGGTGGGGTAGGGGTGGTGTGGTGAATAAAATTAAAATATAGGACAATTACCAACTTGTTATGCAGGTGTGTTTTTCTCCAAGAATAAGAACCTGTTTTAAGAACCTAAATAGCCTAAAATTTTGTTAAGCACCATTTATATAAGAACCTGTTTAGGCTAACTCCTAAAAATGTAGGTTCTTATTTGCGGGTTTTTACTGTATTGTAATGTGTCCGAGTGTTAGGACTCGTGTCTTACCTGTCCTTTTCACCTTGTGTCATCTTTTTAAAGACTGGGTTGATAAGGATCGGATATAGCGAGTGCCAGATGACTAATATCACGGGAACAATGTAGTAAATGGAACTCCAAACCTACAAACGACACGTGAGAGTCGACAGATGAGCTGAAAATGGCATTTAATTAATTCTAGAAACATATGTCTTTTCAATTGAACATTTAAATGTTACATAGAGAGACCATCAGCATGAATTTTCTTCACGCTGTTCATGCTAATTCCTTTCTTCGTCAAACCTTGATGAGTTAAGTGTTAAGTAGGAAGAACGTAGATGCTAATCATTCTCAGCAGATCAAGGTTTATAAGCAACCTCGAAAACCTCTTGGTAGGAGATTTTCAACGCGGCAATTCTGCACTTCAATACTGGCATATTTTGTGGGGAGAATTAAGGCAAAATTAGCTTAAACTACCAAAATAAAAGCCCATACTGTTGTACCCTATTCTGAAGATGAGTAGCAGTTTAAGGCAACCTCACTAAGACCTCTTTCAAACTGTAGCCTGATGCCATATCAGGGTAGATTTACTGACCCGTCCCCACTCGTCCCTTATTTTTAGTATGTGGCCGTGAGGTCACGAGAGATTAGGGACCTTAAGAAACCACGACGGCGACAGCAACGAGGACGTGGAAAAACAAGAGATCTAATTGGCAGAACAATAGCTCTGCAAGTGCGTTTTGAAACTTTGTACATTTCTTGGCCGTCCTACGACGACGCCAAAATTTGAGTCGTCTCCGAACCGAAACCGCGACGGCAAATTATTTTAATTTCCATTTGGAACTCAAAGGCTACTTTATACCTCATGCTGAAGTTGAGCTGTGGCGCTGTAGGAGACAGTAAGCTCCTGCAGCCATTTTTTAAATTCCAACTAAGAGTAGAAATTCATTTTTTAATCGAAGTCTTCCTTGGCGTCGCCGTCCTGACTACTTAAGGTCCCTATTAGCAATAGCAAGACGCAGGGATTGATAGGAAGAACTGCACGCGTGCTTCTCTAATCAATATTTTCAAAAGTAAAATGACGACCGTCTAGTCAACTGAATGTTTATAAAGCGTTCACCTACTTTGTGGAAACGTGAGACGGTCAACAGATTAAAAGACACCAAGAAATACGCCAGGCCAAAATGTACAATGAACGTAGAAGTTAAAATGACGGGAAGCTTCACGTATGCAGGCATCTCTGACAAGGGCTTCTTGGTCACAGTATACCACATAGTTTGTACCTGAGTAACGAGAAGAACACAAAACAACTTCTAATAATAACCGCCTCACGGTTAGCTCAATGGATAGAGCACCGGACTGTTGTGCGGGAGGTCGAGGGTTCTAGCCCCGGCCGGACCAACACTCAGGGTCTTAAAATAATTGAGAAGAAAATGCTACCATTTCTACAACATCAAGAAATGGTTAGATATTCTAGTCTTCTCGGATAGGGATGAATAAATGGAGGTCCCGTCTCCTGCAGGGTTAGGGACAGGAGACGTTAATTTCCCACGCACGAGATTACTGTGTGATGGATGTCCTACCCTGGGATGGGATGGGTGGGTAACAGGACCCCCCGTTGATACCAGTGTCTGTTACTGCTACTGCCACAACTTTTGGCCGGACTGCATCAATCAGGTCATACAAATTATTACGCTCAATGCGAAAATTTGCTCTTAAAAAGTAAGAAAACTGCAGGAAAATCAAACATTGCAGGAGCGCCAAATAAAGCCGACCAGCCATGACGCACATGTTCTCACCTCCTCACCCTGACTAATTTGAATTTATCTGATAATAAAATCTGTGATGCAGGTATTACCTCTTTTGCTAAGGCAGTCAAAGTTAACAAGACTCTGACCAACTTGAATATGTCTGGGAATGGTATTAATGATACCCGCTCCGCTACATTTATTGCTGAGGCACTCGAAGTGAACAAGACTCTCACTAGTTTGAATTTGTCTGATAATAAGATCTGTAATGCCGGTGTTACCTCTATTACTAAGGCAATCAAGGACAACAAGACTCTGACCAATTTGAATTTGTCTAATGATATCGGTGATGCCGGTGCTGCATCTATCGCTGAAGCAATCAAAGTCAACGAGACTCTTACCAATTTGAATTTGTCTGATAATAAAATCTGTGATGCCGGTGTTACCTCTATTGCTAACGCACTCAAAGTTAACAAGACTCTGACCAATTTGATTTTGTCTGTGAATTCTATTGGTGATACCGGTGCCGAATCTATTGCTGAGGCAATAAAAGTCAACAAGATTTTGACCGATTTGAATTTATCTGATAATAATATTGATGTTGCCGGTGTTACATCTATTGCCGAGGCAAACAAAGCCAACAAGACTCTGACCAATTTGAATTGTCCTACTGGGAATTCTATTGATGAAGCCGGAGCTGGGTATATTGCTAAAGTCACCAGGACCCTAACCAATTTGAATTTGTTTGGGAATGTTATTAATGAAACCTGTGCTCATCTATTGCCGAGGCAATCAAAGTCAACAAGACTCTGACCAATTTTGATTCTGTCTGGCCATTAGTGTACTAATGGTAGAAATGGTTAGATATTCTAGTCTTCTCGGATAGGGACGAATAAATGGAGGTCCCGTCTCCTGCAGGGTTAGGGACAGGAGACGTTAATTTCCCACGCACGAGATTACTGTGTGATGGATGTCCTACCCTGGGATGGGATGGGTGGGTAACAGGACCCCCCGTTGATACCAGTGTCTGTTACTGCTACTGCCACAACTTTTGGCCGGACTGCATCAGCAGTTTACAAACAATCGAAGGAAACTTATTTGAAGATGCCCCCTCCCCCCAATTCCCAGTAAACAGGCCAGACCACATCACAGTAATCTCGTGAGTGGGTTCTTTAACGTCCCCTGCCCAACCAAATTAACTAATTAATAGATGCAGGAGACGGAATCTACGGTTAATTCGTCCTTATCCGAGAAGACTACAGTGTCTATCCATTTCTTGATATTAAAGAAAGGTAGCACATTCTCCTCAGTTATTTTAAGACCTTGAGTGTTGGTCCGGGGCTAGAACCATCAACCTTGACCTCCCGCACAACAGTCCAGCGCTCTAACCAACTGAGCTAACTAGGAGGTTAGAAAATATATGTGAGTTTAGCTGATATATATTTACTGATCAATTCAAAATAGTAATATGGGCATGTGGAAGTTCGTGGAAATGCAAATAGTCTTTTGAAATTAAATCTTCTGGTTTCTTAAAAAAAGGGTGAGAAAATATACAAAAAAAACTTAAGAATGATTCAGAATCGAATTGTTTTGCTTCCGTGTATGTCAGTTTGTGGCCGCTCCGCGTCACTAAATATCACTTCCCAAACTCGTCTGACACACAACAGAGAAGTAACAAATATCTAACACCCTTATCTTTTCAGTACGTATCGTATCTTTGAATCTCCTTTTTTGTCTTCAATTTATCACCATAGGAATTTAAAGGCCCCCCACTAATTAACAATAATATACTTAACCTGTTTTTCCATTAACATGATGACAAACTCTCCAAAGAAACAGGTGAAATATCCCACAAACAACCCATGCCACAGAGCAAGAAACATTAGCGTGAGGAAATGTGACAAGTTTTTATTCCCGAGGAAGCGAAGGCGCTTGAAAAAATACCTGTAATAGAGAACCGCACAAAATGCTTAAAATGGTATAATTTAAGAAATTTAATTCCACTTCGTCAAAGTCTTCCAGTACCTTTAAGCTCTCGACCACTCTGATGCAAAACTAAAAGGAAATGAGACGTAAGCACACTCGTTTCCCACTTTAAGTAGGTCGACCGAGTCTACATCGCACATGCACTTTGAGTTCATGCTGGCTTCTGAATACATTTTGCTTTGTTCTGTTTGCCCTCTCTTTGGCATACTCAACTGAAGTTAAGTTCATAATTTGGATATATCAACAAATTTGAAGTGGTAAATTGGCCACCGTAACGGTTACAAAAGCTGACATTTCGAGCGTTAGCCCTTCAACGGAGCGAAGGCTCGAAACGTCAGCTTTTGTAATCGTTATGGTGGCCAATTTACCATTTCAACTTTGTTGATATATCCAAATTATTTCGTTACTCCCACCGACGCAGCCCCAAACAGTTGCTTTCGAAACTATCAGCCTTTATTCATTTGAAGTCAAGTTACACTCTCAGGATGTTTTGTGTTAAAGCAAAGAATGGAACTGTATGTACTATAAGTCAGGAAAGCATACCAGGATTCTCAAAGTAAGTCTATCGAAATACACCATGATGATCCTTTTGCAAAACAGGTCTGAACACAGCGCGCAAGGAAGCCTTGTTAGCGTTGCGAGGCATCTGGTGTCAAAAACCATGGAGATCCTTCGCAAACACCTAACATGCTCACATCACTCGCCAGCTCGACGCTTCCGCTGCAACGCCAATGAGAGCCTCCTCGAAGCTTCTCTTTCGGGGGGGGGAGAGAGTGGGGAGGGGTAGTCTAATGACCAATGACATCGCTAGCACTAGCAGTATTTTGGGAGCTCGTCACATGTTTGACAGATGACATCGCACAAACCAGTAGTATTCGAGGAGCTTGTCATATATGTGGGGAGAGGTAGTCTAATGACATCCTACACACTGGTAGTATTCTAGGAGCTTGTCATATGTGAACCTTAAACGTGGCGTAGTCCTCCTCGACAGTACGGCTCAGTACTTAAAAAAAATTGTATGAAAAGTTAGGTCTCTAGTAGAGGAAAATGTTCACTAACCTGAGTACCCATTTATTGGTATTGATATTAAAGGAATCGATGCAATCCTGCAAAGAAAAGTATTTTTAGAATACGGTGACATATTCATGTAACGGAGACAGATTCTGCAAAACAAAAGGCAGTCAAATGAGCATTTGACTTATCTAGAAAAACTTCTTACATTTGTTTATTTTCGTTTACTTGTTTGTTTGTTTTTATCAAGTTTATTTGAGAAACACCAGGGATACAGACTTGGCAAATTACTGGCATCAACAGAAAGAATGACAGTCACATTTGAGATGAAGTTACAATTAGCAGCAACTCCCTAATCCCTGTCACTCCCAGGATCAAAATACCAGTTCTCCACACTGCTTGCCACACTTTTCTTATAATTTTTGTATTGAGAAGCTAGTAGTAAATCATACAGTACCCCTCAGTCAGTATGTTTCTGTTTTCCCATCACCTTTGCAATTTTGGAAAAATGAATCAATATAAAACATGCAATTCCTTTTGGTCACCTGTAGGATGACCATGGGCATACTGAAGAGATAAAATGCTCACTGAAATTAAAGGAGATGCACTTTTCTATCTAATAGTTTTGTTTGTTTTTTCCCTGTATGTGGCTACCTAAGCTTTTACAAACTAGTGACATGTTTAATAAGGGCAGACAACTTACTTGGAAAGTGTGCATTGTTTCATACACTGAGACCTGTATGTTTCTGAGTCCATCCCATTTTGCCACACCATCTTCTGTTTTACCATTAAAGCTGATTCCAGAAATAATACAGCTGCCCTCCTGGAACAGAAACAGATCAATTTAAGAAGTCTGTAAGTTTTGGGAAGCTGTTGATACATTATGAGAAATAAACAGAAGAATATTTAACATCAACTTTCTGTAACACATGCCAAATTGTTTAATCAGTGTCAAGTATGAAATAAATGTGTGCTCATTACTTATTTATTTATTTAATTGCTTCACCGACCGGCAGGGACACCGCAACAGCTTGCACCAATTACTGCGGACCCAATAAACCCACCCATCCCACCCCAGGGGAGGACCTCCATCACACAGTAATCTCGTGCGTGGGAAATTAACGTCTCCTACCCCAACCCTGCAGGAGATGGGACCTCCATTTATACGTCCCTATCCGAGAAGACTAGAATATCTAACCATTTCTTGATGTTATAGAAAGGCAGCATATTCTTCTCAATTATTTTAAGACCCTGAGTGTTGGTCTGGCTGGGGCTCGAACCCTCAACCTCCCGCACAACAGTCCAGCGCTCTATCCATTGAGCTAACCGGGAGGCGGTTAATTGCACCCACATTTACTTGAAGCTCTGGAGCAGTTAACCCTTCATGTGTAACTCCAAAGATCTGANTAGTATCGCAGAGGTCAGTGGTTCGAGTCCCGTACAGGCCTGATTTTTTTCAGGTCTGAATTTCGCTATTGCTCAAATAGCGCTATCTACTGCGAGGATCGTCCATCATACGTATCAAATACCGCAGTTCAAAATATATGATTTTCATATATTTATTCTATCTCATTTATCACTTTCACGGGTTCATTACGAATCAACTTAACGGCCTGCTCTCAGTTGGCTTGTTAGCTCAATTGGTTAGAGCGCTGCACTAGTATCGCAGAGGTCAGTGGTTCGAGTCCCGTACAGGCCTGATTTTTTTCAGGTCTGAATTTCGCTATTGCTCAAATAGCGCTATCTACTGCGAGGATCGTCCATCATACGTATCAAATACCGCAGTTCAAAATATATGATTTTCATATATTTATTCTATCTCATTTATCACTTTCACGGGTTCATTACGAATCAACTTAACGGCCTGCTCTCAGTTGGCTTGTTAGCTCAATTGGTTAGAGCGCTGCACTAGTATCGCAGAGGTCAGTGGTTCGAGTCCCGTACAGGCCTGATTTTTTTCAGGTCTGAATTTCGCTATTGCTCAAATAGCGCTATCTACTGCGAGGATCGTCCATCATACGTATCAAATACCGCAGTTCAAAATATATGATTTTCATATATTTATTCTATCTCATTTATCACTTTCACGGGTTCATTACGAATCAACTTAACGGCCTGCTCTCAGTTGGCTTGTTAGCTCAATTGGTTAGAGCGCTGCACTAGTATCGCAGAGGTCAGTGGTTCGAGTCCCGTACAGGCCTGATTTTTTTCAGGTCTGAATTTCGCTATTGCTCAAATAGCGCTATCTACTGCGAGGATCGTCCATCATACGTATCAAATACCGCAGTTCAAAATATATGATTTTCATATATTTATTCTATCTCATTTATCACTTTCACGGGTTCATTACGAATCAACTTAACGGCCTGCTCTCAGTTGGCTTGTTAGCTCAATTGGTTAGAGCGCTGCACTAGTATCGCAGAGGTCAGTGGTTCGAGTCCCGTACAGGCCTGATTTTTTTCAGGTCTGAATTTCGCTATTGCTCAAATAGCGCTATCTACTGCGAGGATCGTCCATCATACGTATCAAATACCGCAGTTCAAAATATATGATTTTCATATATTTATTCTATCTCATTTATCACTTTCACGGGTTCATTACGAATCAACTTAACGGCCTGCTCTCAGTTGGCTTGTTAGCTCAATTGGTTAGAGCGCTGCACTAGTATCGCAGAGGTCAGTGGTTCGAGTCCCGTACAGGCCTGATTTTTTTCAGGTCTGAATTTCGCTATTGCTCAAATGGCGCTATCTACTGCGAGGATCGTGCATCATACGTATCAAATACCGCAGTTCAATATATGATTTTCATATATTTATTCTATCTCACATGCCAAATTGTTTAATCAGTGTCAAGTATGAAATAAATGTGTGCTCATTACTTATTTATTTATTTAATTGCTTCACCGACCGGCAGGGACACCGCAACAGCTTGCACCAATTACTGCGGACCCAATAAACCCACCCATCCCACCCCAGGGGAGGACCTCCATCACACAGTAATCTCGTGCGTGGGAAATTAACGTCTCCTACCCCAACCCTGCAGGAGATGGGACCTCCATTTATACGTCCCTATCCGAGAAGACTAGAATATCTAACCATTTCTTGATGTTATAGAAAGGCAGCATATTCTTCTCAATTATTTTAAGACCCTGAGTGTTGGTCTGGCTGGGGCTCGAACCCTCAACCTCCCGCACAACAGTCCAGCGCTCTATCCATTGAGCTAACCGGGAGGCGGTTAATTGCACCCACATTTACTTGAAGCTCTGGAGCAGTTAACCCTTCATGTGTAACTCCAAAGATCTGAGTGTTAATTCTCCCCTCTGGCAGCTACATGTTTCCTGGGTTGTAAATTAGTTACATGTACACAAAGTTACATGTTAATCACTTCTGGGAGTTAAAGCTTAATTATTTCTTTGTACTCACAGAGAGAAGCCACACTGCCAGGTACTTCATGAATGCCACTTTGCTGTAAAAAACTATATACCAGACCTTTGCAAGGAATGAATACCCCTAAATAAAAAAAAATAAATAAAAAAAAAAGAAAAAGACTAGACCGAGAAGATTTTGACAGCTTTACACATTCAAATAAAAAAGCTTTTCAAGCACATAAAAAAAAAAAATTAAAAAATCAAATTAAATCAAAGCTAGTAGCACAATAGCTGACCGGGAGATAAGAAAATATCAAGTAGAGCCATTGAGAGCTACAAGTGAACAAACAGTCCTCCTGACTCTAAGAAAACTGCATGTGACCAAATCACAACAGGTATTAATTTTGTGTGTGATTAGATACAAACAATTTATCTCTGGTTTTTCAATCAAAAGTTTGAAGTACCGTAAAACGTTTCAGTTTGTCACTTTATAGCAATATTTGTCATAAATAACAATCTCTTATCAAAAAACATTTGTTGAGCCCCTTCAAGTAGATATTGATACATGTACTTCTTACAGACCTGAAATTCATCTGATAAGAGCCCAGTTTCTGAGAACCATGGATGTAATGCACCATAAAGGGAAAGGTACAAAATGCCAAGAGCCATGCGCTTCAAACCTGATGCAACCCTACATAATTAAAAATCAAATACTTCTCATGTACAGTAATGGAAGAGTGAAGAGAGAAATTGAATTCTCATTTATTTCTCTAGCATAAAGGCAAAAAAAGGCCCTGTAATCACAGGAAACATCCTAGTGAAGCATTCTGAAATGATAAATTAATTAAGTAACTAACATGACATTAAATATATGAAACATAAATCAATAATTCAATAAGTGGTACATGCAAAGATTGGTTCTTCATTGTCTGATCCCAGTTGGATTGAATTTGGCCACAGTTATGGTTTTAATAGAGGAAGGAAAAGAGCATCTTTCCCAGAACAACACATTTGAGTCAAGAATGTGACTCAATGACAAAACTTTTCCCAGATACAGGAACAGAACACAAGCCTCAACTGTGGCAAATGAGTACTACCACTCCCTGCACCATCCCTGATCGCTAGTTTCCTTGCAAGGGACAATCTCCAATGTTCTGTGGATACTGCACATACATGTACTGTGTTCCAAGGTGGTAATGGGGAAAATTGTGTACACAAAACAAATGATCCCCTCAAACATATCATGAATGGAGCTGTGACACAGACCACCCAGCTTTGCAGCCACTTCATTTGCCCAACTTTTAGGTGAGACTTTGACAAGATCATTGCATGCAAAACGGCAGTAAAGTCACTCACCGACCATTATCATCATCTTTCTTGTCCATTAGTGTCCCATTTACAAATGCTAAGTATCCCTTGGTTTGAAACTAAGAAGAAAAAATAAATAACAACCAAATTTCAATAGTGTGTTTACGACAAAAGGCTTATGTGCATTCCTTCCAAGCTTCACTCCACTTTGAAGGAATATAATTAAACTACTCATACAGGCCACTTTAATGATTTTGTACTTAGGCAAAAATAAACTTTATAGTATACCTAGAAAATAAATCATACCTTGTTATCAAAGATTACCAGGATGGCAATTTTCCAAGAGGCTTCAGCTGAGCTATACTTAAATTTACACTTATTTCTAATAGTCAACACTTAACCAGCAATGTTCCTGATTTTTTTCTATTATTATAATATATTCTAGCATTTGAAGATGAAATGAAATTTTCACACGACTGTGTAGTCATGTAAAAGCTTTGCACTATCAAGGTTAAGCTTTTAAAAGTTAAATTATCTCATAACTTGTTCTGACATATGTGTTTTACAGGTAAGGTGCAACATTTACCTTCTCCCCTCATGAGTAAAGCACCATTAGCAACTTTTCATAAGATTGTTACTGACAGTTTATCATTACATATTAATTGCCTATGATATTATGTTTTGGATACTGTTGGATATTATGGATATTATGTTGGATATTATGTTGGATATTACTGTTGGATATTATGTTTTGGATATTGGTTTTGGATATCTGTGTGCTTACCTGGGGACCAACTAAAAATCCTCCATAAAAGTAGCAAAGACCCATCATCTTAACAAAATAACGGGAAAAAAATAGGATAAGTCTTACCATATAAGGTGTGAACATTCATATCAATCAATAACAAAGAGTGATTAGCTACATTTGTACAAATTAAGCAACATGTTGTCTGGAAATTGCAAATAAGAGCTCTGGACTCTGCATTAGGACCATTTTTATTTGCACCCTGGACCCTTTACACCCTAACATCAGTATGCATATTCTCCTTACTGTTCTCTATACATTTCCTAAGGCGCTGACAAGGAAAATTTGTTTAACAATCGAAAGCTACTTGAGTTGGTGGTCCTTTGTTGTATTCTCATGACTCTAATGTTTGATTCAGTAGTGATAATGTATGGAGAAATTAGATGCTGGTCAGTTAAAGGGTTAAAGTAGTCTAGGATTATAATTGTAGTTTTAATTTATTATTAATATGTGCTATGACTGTCTAAAAAAACTTGTACCATTCCACCCTCTCAGCTAATCAGATGCAAAAGTAAAACAAACCCTGACTTATTAAATCAACATGTTTTCCCACATAGTTCACTTGTTCTTAATTTGAGTTCTCATCAGCCTCTTAATTGTTATATATTTTCATTTCTTATGATAAACTGTGGTAACCATCATTAGGATAATTTGAACAAATTCATCCTGGTCACATTCACAGATAAAAGAGCAAACCAACAACTAACATAAATAAAAACACTTTGCAAGAGCTTCCAAGTGGTACCAACACTTTCATCACCTACAAGGCTTGCCGGCATACTAAGGGTTTAACTTATCAAGAATAATACTCAAGTTAGTCAATAAAAATACTTTGAAAAAATACCAGTGGCAGTTAACAAAAAGAAGAACTGACAAGTACCTCCAGTAGTGTTGGGGGTGTTTCTATGGCAGTGGTCTTTTGATCAGCAGATATTTTCTCCTAGAGTGGAAACAATGTATATATCTTAAAACAAGTCCATAACAATCTCATTGTCCTTCATTTAGACTTTGGCCATGTTGTTTTAGCTTGTAATAGACCACTTTCATAAATGGCTGCCGGATTAATATTCTTTTGTTTAAATTTAAATAAGCCTTTCTGGCCTTGTTCTCCAGTACAAAATTCAAAAGAATACATTACCTCAAGCGAGGCCAGAAAGGCTACTTTAAATTTAAACAAAAGAATATTAATCCAGCAGCCATTTATGAAAGTGGTCAATGCATTAACCTTTTAACCTCCAGAAGTTACTAACATGTAGCTTCTTCCTATTATATTGGTCCATACATTATCCAGAAAACAGGTAATGAGAATACTCAAATTTATCAGATAGAGGTTGTTGTCTCAATCTAAAATCAAATTCTCCTAACTAAGTCACAGGGAAATCAGTGTAGCAGCTAGAGGGGAGAATTCACAATCAGATTTTGGAAGTTTAAAGGTTGACAGGGGCACAAAGTACACAGACTACTAACAATTTCACCTTTAGTTCTAGTTTCTCGCTGATCTAAAAATGACTATAAGGGAACACTCTGTACCCTCCTTTGTTTTGTGAACAGGCACAATTATCATTTAGTGAAAGATGTAGTAGCCTTGTGGTTACTGGCTCAACCTTAGGTTTGAACTCTGAGTCATTTTTCTTTGTGTTTTAGGCAGGATGCTTATTTCTTAGGGTGCCTTTCTTTATTGAGGGGCATAAATGGATACCAGCAAACTGTTGGGGGAACTTGAAAAAATGCTGGCAAGGGAGGGGGGAGGGGAGGGAAACCAAATGTACTACCATCCTACCCAGGATGAGTGGCAAGGCTCAGTGCCATCTCATGAAACAGAAACTAAGATGATCTTCAACAGCTGTATGAGACATTCTCACACATGGAGAGATTTAAAAGTCATCCGTTTGGTTTCTATTGTAATAATATTATGAAAAAATTAAGTGCTTACGATAGGCTGAAAACAAACGTATTTTTCACGTAAAATGAGTGCAAAGTTGTGAGTGCAAATTACAAATAGCATGTGCGCTGTCAAAATTTTATCTGTATTGACCTTCTGTGATGCCCTTTTTATGTAAACAATAATTACATAAATTATATCATTTTCATTATGATTATTTATATTACTGGATTTTTATATATTCATGCAGTTAGATATATAATTGTACAATCTATTGAGTATTAATAATTTATTGCTTAATGTATTACTTTTTATTTTCCTTCTTCCCTCTTTGTACATCTTAAATATAGTGTGCTAGCTTTTAATAAATATTTTTATCATGAAATCATGTGGTAGTGACCATCTCGAAAGCATTTGCTACTAGGGTCACTACGCACTTCTCCTTTTCCTACAGGAAGTAAAACTCTGTTCTCTCTATTTTCTCCTTTTCTTTTATCTCACTTGTAGTTAATGATATAAATAGTGCAAAATAAAGATGATGATGATGATAATAACATGATTTCTCAGGTAATTTGGTGTAAATAAGTACCTATAGATAAATTTTTCAAAGACTATAAATTGCAATTTTCTCATGCTTATTCACACCAAAGGAAATTTACACTCGAAATCATGTTATTATCTATACAAATTGTGTAATGTTGTTTCCAATAAGTCAGCCAATGATAACATCTTTTAAATTCATACTTTTACAGTGTCAATGGAAATTTTATTTGCAGACCTCAAGCACAGCAAAATTTGTATTTAACTTCCAAACAGAGTTGTTTTATCATTTCTTTGATTTGTGATTTGCAGTATGTAAGTTCAGTTATCAGCCAGTTCAAAACAAACCTTACCTGGTCTTGATTGCCATCATAGTAGTCCCAGGCCACACCTATAAGGAGACATTCAGTCATTAAATACATAGCTCAAGTATAACAGACAGAAAAATGGTGGCCTCACAATTCAAACACTGGACTTTATGGTCAAAGGGTGCAGTTTCAAGGCCTGGCTGGGTGGCAGGTACAAAAAGCAGGTCACAGGTCACAATTAACAGGTCACAATTAAAGAGTTAATATACACCGGATAGAGTAAAGGCATTGCATTATAGTGTTCCATTTCCGGTCATAAGAAATGAACATATAATATACATGAACATATAATGCACATGAACATATAATATACAATTGTGACCTGTTAATTGTGACCTGTGACCTGTGACCTGCTTTTTGTACCTGCTGCTGGCTGGGTCATTATTGTGTTCTAGTGTTTTGCATCAAATTGAAGATAGTTTTGCAACACATTCCATTAATCAGTGAATAGCCAAGGACTTACTTATCAGCCTTAGACACAGAATACACTGAGGTGTGGTCCAGTTCACATCGTACTCCCCTGAGGCGTAGTACACATAGCCACTTAATAAATATCCCTAAATTATGATTAATAAAAAAAAAACCACAAAATTAGCAAACTGAGTGCAAAATTTTCTTTGTTGAATCTCTTATAAACTAAGGATGCTTGTATCAGTACACACTCATTTGTCACCCCATAAAATTAAGCTGATATTTTACAAAATTTCCTGCAATTCTGGGTGCACCTTATAACAGGGTATTTATGTGAAATTTTCATTTTTCTTACTTGTCACAATTGTCTTCGAAAGTTTAGGGTGCGTCTTATAACCGAGTGCACCTTATAAGTGAATAAATACGGCAATTAAACACATCCTTTTCACCAAAAATAATTCAGTGTAAAAAATTTTGACCTTAAAAATTCATATTCACTGTAATTGTGTATGAGGTGACTAGATTGTACACTCATGGTGATCTTATTCCTGGAAAAATGTAGTCGGTGGTGTCAATTCCTATTTCTTTTGAGCCTTTGATTAATGAATTTATTTGCCATGTCAGGTATACACAATCCCCAAAGGTCAGATATGTACCAAGAAAGTATATTGTGACCTATGTGATATTTTACCATATAACACTTGAAAGATTTGCATAACTTTTACATGTATGTACTCAGCTAAAACAAAATGGGAGTGGCGAATTGTAAAAAGTAATACTATCAGAACTGACTGTTTGAATAAGAGATCTTTCAGATTGCATTAACCATTATTGGGTTTAAGAATTACCTATTAACAAGTATTCATATTCTATTGGCACAAGTTGGATGGGTCTAATTTCAAACCTAACAAGTGCAGAAATTGTTGTCAATAATGGATGAATATTTGAGACATGTAAAAGTTGCCATGTTCTACCAATTTACCAAGATCTGAAACTTACCATGTTAAATAAAAACATGACTACAACCATGTTTATAGATGGCCCAAGAATGTGTACCAGCAGATAAGAAGATATGATGGTTATCAAGGAGTGAACAGCACACCAGCCTGGTTATAGAAAAAAACAGAATATCAGATTATTTACTAATTCAATCACTGATTCTTAGTACTTAATGTACCATATAACTTGAAACTTGAACCTTTAGAACTTCTTACAATTAGATTGGAGAGCTTGCTTTTCTTTTGTCTATGATACCCTAGCTACTATGATCCACGACAAAAGAAAAAAATTAGAGTGGATTAAAAAATATGAATTACCACATACATATGCACTGCATCTGTTATAATTAAAGTATTTCTCATATTTTACAAGAAAATGTAAACAAACAGAGTAAATCTTACCATAACCGAAAAGAGCCAAAGACAGCCCACAAATGGTGAAATAGACATGCTGTAAAAGATCAATAAATAAATTGGGCTTATCAATAAATTAGCTACAGTTCTGTTGTTGCATTTCTAACAATGCCTGTAAAAGGCAAAGCCAGCAATCAAGCAAAGTGACTCAACTGGCCACAGCTCATTCCAGTTTCTGTAGCATAAAGTAATTGGGAGTAATGTTACTCTCCTTGGATGGGTGCTAGTCAATCATGGTTCTCTCCCCCCCCCCCCCCCATGAAGCATTTCATCAGGTTTCCCCTGATTATTTCTTGCTACTCATTCATACTACTGAGTGGAGAAATGCATTGTGAGAGTTAAGTAGGTACAGTGACTTTGCCAAGCCTCAAACCCTGACCTCTTTACCTAGAATCCAGTACCACCACATCTCCCTCATGCAGCAGTTTACAATTATCTATAAATTATCAACAAGACTTTGATTTACCTGTAGAACAGGTTTGGTTCTATAGAAAAGAGCTTGATAAAGGAAGGCCAGAGGATAAGCTAAAAGAAATAATAGTATTTATCGTTTATAATCTATAATGCCTTTGAATTCTATTGTAAACACTACTGAAATTTCCGCATACGTGCAATGCCTAAGTCCAATACTAAGTTGCCGTCGACCTTTGCCTAGTAAGTTAGAGGCTATATTCCATCGAATGAAGTGATAAAAAAATCAGTTGTGTTGTGCACCAAGGCAGGTAAATGGTTTATTTGATTTCATTCACTTGACAGAAAGTGGTCAACCAACGAATCAAAGCTTGGTCAAAAGTGAAAAAAAAAAATGAGGTCGAGGTCCACAGATTGTGTTTTCATTTCTAATAAATCGTGGTAAAACTTTGACTGTCGGGTCGAGTCCAGTGCTTACGGCGGACTGCTTTCATAAGCTTGGTAACGGCACTTTCCCGTGATTTTGATTAATTATTTCTGGTACAGAAACAAACTAATAATAAATTACATTGACTGTGGCATGGTCAACTTCACCTGACTCCTGCCATAAAACACGAACCAAAAAGAAAAAACGCAAAAATAGTGGGACATCTGAGAGGAACGTGACTGTTTGCGATGCAAGAGGCCGTGACTTAACATAAAAAAACGAAGGCATGTGGCTAAAATAAATTTCAAATCAATTGCCGTCGTTGTAACTCGAGAATCATTCGACACCATGATCGTTTAAGATGTGTTCCTCATCTGATACAAACTGCTCGCCACAAACAATGTAATCAAAATTACCTGAGAATAACGCGATGACTAAACGAAGAGCAGCATCTGATAACCCAGACGCCTTCACTAAAACATCTATATTACCGAAACCGCCACAATCCGCCATTTTATTTTTGTTATCGGAAATGGCACCTGGCTCCTGGAACCGAGGCAAAAGAAAATTGTTTAGGAGAGGGACAGAATTCAGAACGGGTTGATTGATGATGATCAGGAAATATAGTTTACAACGGGTGAGATTATCTTGTTGTTATCTATGATGTTTCAAAACCATTTTTCGGACATTCCTATTCTTGAAGGAAAAATTTCAACTTGACTTGATCTTCATGAGTGTGATCGATTACCCGTCACGTGGTCAAAATGATGGTAGATCACGCGATTGCAGCGTACCAAGAACTTTGGACCACCAGGATGGGTGAAGTACAAAGCTAACCTTTGTCGCTGAAGCAAAGAAGGTGAAACAAGCCAAAATTTGTGGGATCAGACCCACAGATATTTTAATAAAATGGCTAGGTATAATAAATGAGCACTCGAAAACGGAACTTGAGATGGTGAACCAGAAAAGTGGCGCGTAAAAGGCGCTTATAGGTTTTGGTCGACTTCTTTGGTTTTACATCTCGCTACCAGTTTTTTTCATCACGTGGGAAAACAACTTTGGAAGCCAACGAGCGCTAAGTGCTATAGGAAGAGAGAGAGAGAGAGAGGAAGTCAATACATCGTACTCTCTTTCCACTTCCCATCAACCATTTTTCTGACTACGTATGCACCGCGGCGCGCTATGACTGACAGTTGCATTGAAACAAACCTTTGTAATGCTGAATACAAAAAATGCAACTTTCTTTTAAACCTAAGTCTTCCTCTAAGCGGAAACTTAGAGATCTAAGAACGAAAGAGATGATTTTCCAAGAAAAGTGGATGGAAAAACCTCATTCGAAGAAGTTCCCGGGCAACAATTGCGGAAAAGCTGATGAGACAAATGTGCACTTACTTTCAACCCACGCTCATATCAAACACTTTTTCTGTCCCTTTTCCTTTTCATATGTTGACTACACGGAAGGTGGGCGGACTGTTTCTTAAGGTCAGGCATTAACATTCTGTGAACAATTTGTCCTACCAGGTTTTGCCTATTATTGTTGCCTTCCGAATTTCCAGTGTCAGGACCTGAGCCTCAGCTGGATAGATAGGATCCAGCCCGTGAACTAGAGAGAAGCAAACAGTAACACAGTATGTAGTACTTTACTTGGTTGCTTAAAATCAGGGGGAAATACTGATTTGAAACCGGCTGCACGCGTCCCCGAGCATGCTCTCATTGGCGCTGCTTCGCGAGCATCTTGCGCGCTTCTTGGAAGGCTTGCAGGTCGCCTACGACCTGTTTAGCTAGTGCCAGACTTCTCTTAGACCTTACCGCGAACAAAGCAGGCCAAGCGATTCTTGCAGACTTTGGGAGGATTTCGCGCCAGAGTAGCTTGTTCGCAAGCAACATGGCCACACCCATAGTCTAATGTTTCTAACCGTAATCATCATCGAAATTTTTGGCACTCTGAGGATTACTTTCAGTCAATAAAAGCATAGTTAATAGAGGGGACCTATAACTATGATAACAGTTAATACGATAAAAATCTTCCATGACTGCTGTTTTTTCAGAGAACAAAGAAATGTCCAACTGAGCTGCCAGAGAGGAAGTTTTAAAATAGAAGTCGTTTATATTCTCGAAAACTTTCATTGAAGGTATGTGGGCAGTCGAACTCCCGCAAACAACGTACAAAAAAGCTTCTTTGTTTAGCTGAAGCTGATAGCATTAGAAGTTGTTTGAAAAACGCCACCTTACTTTGATTTATGCACCTAAAACCTAACTTTTTTCGAGCGTGTTTCTTAAAATCCGTCTCAGTCTCATTCATGTCTACCATGCCAACCTCAGCCCTATTCCGCCTTGATCATCATTTTCTTCACTGGCTCCAATCCAGTTAACATGACATTTAAGTGCCAAAGAGGCACAAACAAATACTCGTGAGTCTTCGAAAATCTGTTTAATTCGTTGGCACTATTTATTCAATTCAAATTCTCGTACAATCAGAGCTTAACATACTAACGTATTGCTGTAAGCATTTTGAACTTTACCGGTCAAATGGCTAGCAGGCGTTCAACTCTAACCTGAAAGAAAAGAAATAAAGTAATAAAGAAAACCGTGGAGGTACTTTCCAACCTAGCTTCCCAGTTGTCAGGTCAAACGACCCAACCGTGGGTGGTTGTTGTGATGTCAGAGCCTTTCTCAATACTACACAGTGCGAGCATAGCTTACTGCTAATGATGATCGGCGTCATTAAAACGCGGACGAATCACAAGCGACAGGGGGCTCTGGGCAATTGTCCAGGGCCGATTGGAGTTTATAATGCATCCGTGATATGTCTTAATAATATGACACGTTTTCGCTGAACGGGAACTGATTAAATAATAATCATATCACTACCGCGGGGGTATTCTCTTTGCAACTTCCTTCTTGCTCCTGAGACAACTTGAAGCCTACTTCATCAGTTGTCTGCCAAAAAATTTTCGGGTTATGACAGCTTAATGTAAACTTTCATCAACATTGAGGATTTCTAACTAATTTTAAGCTGAAATACACAGAATCTGTTCGGATCAACCCTTAGTAACTGCAACCTCAGAAAATGCGATTACGTTTATTGCAAAACTCGAGCATAAGCATCGTCAAAATGAATGGAAAACATGTTTAGCAAATTCTGATTTCTTTCGCGGAAATAAATTCAACAATGAAGATTTCGCTGGGAGGAGGAGTTTCGTTTCATTTTGTATCATAGTATTGTTGATTAATTCTTTTCTCGCGTGACTGTCTGTTTTTTCTACTAATTAGAGTTGAGAACATTCGATCGTCAAAACCCACGCATTTATCTGATGTCACATGTCACTTAGATTTAAGTCTGAGCAAACTCGAAAATTTAGCAAAAAAGAAAAAGATACAAGATGAAACCCACTGATCTTGAAATGTTATCTTCACTAACCCCAATTAATTCAAAGTAGACCTTAGTTGACAGAGTAAATGTCTGTAGACCAGCAAACATGGGTGCTGATAGGAGCGAAGGAACTCGTAGCTATGCGAAAAAAAAGCGAATGATTTATAGCTCACAATGTTGTCATTACAGGAGTAGATCGTATGAAAAAAAAAACTCCACCGCCTTGTGAATTCACCAAGAGGATGTATATTTTTCAAATCTGCATCATCTTCCAAGTCTTCATCGACACTGTACGCCAATGTTTTGAATAAAAGAGCGTAAATGCCATTCAAAACACGCCGAGGAGAAAGACAACTATCATTTAAGTCGCGTTCTTCATGACAGCTTGCTGGGTAGAACTGCTTAAGTTTGTTTTTAAATCATAATTTTATTTCTACGTGAATGTTTGATGATGGGTAAGCCGCCGAAGTTCATGTTTAGACAGCTATCAATTTTAATCAGTCTTAAGATCCTAATCCCATTCCAGCAAGGAACAAGGAAGCATAAGTTGGCACAGGTATAAAAGCTGATTATTAATTGATCAGTTTCGAATCCATCTAGTGTTTTTCATTTCGCTCAAATGACAAGCGCGTCACGAGAGGAACCTGAAATAATCGGAGAGAGGTCCAGTAGAATTATCAAAGGAGAAAGAAAATGCCCATATCAGTGACGGTAAGGCTTTAAAACAATGAACAGATGTTCGATTTTTTGCCTTTGATCTCGCTAACACTTCGGCATTTTGTTTTAAGAAAATATGCATAACACAGGATTTACAATTGTTCAAGGTTCCTCCCCCAGCATTGCCCTGAGTGGGTTAAAAAAATTGAGTATGCTACCAAATTCATGCAAAAAAGACAGCTATATCAAAAGCAATTTCGCCAAGAGGCAGACGAAAAGCGTCAGGAGGGGAGGACTAGGTCAACCGTAAAGAGGTTAGATAGAGTGGTTTAGTTATGCCGAGAGTGTTCCCAAGTCAAAGGACGACTGCTGAAGTTCTCCCATAAGATTTCTTCATGTCTTGGAATAAATTAAAAAAATCTTTCAGAGAAAAAAACCTCTCTTTCTACCCTGATTTTACTGTCTCTCCTTCTGTCGAAGATGCGTAATAGATGATACAAAAAACAAAACAAAAAAATAATGTAAACCAAATGAAGAACCAACAGAAATGAGAAAGTATGACTAAGTTGTGAAGGATACCATGTTTAACTATGTTTAATACAGGCAAATACACTATATGGTGTATTACTGGTATTTCATAATTGCATATGCATTCCCTGAAAACATCTCCATAGTATTCAGAAGCCTTTGTTTAATACATGACTGTTTAATCCACCAAAACCATACTGAAAGCTTATGGTGTTTGTTAGCAAAAACAGTAATGAGTTTTGTTTTCAAGTCTTCTGAAGGAGTGAATATCATGAGACCAAAATAAATTAGTTGTTAACAATTTCGTTATGGCTGCGTACAGTTGCATTAGATGTTCCTCAGAGCAAGTCCAAAAATGACTGATTAAAATTGGTGAACTGTAAGGGTAAGTGAAATTGTTTCACTACACTTAAAAACCATAGCGGACTAACAGGAGACAAATTGGGCAAAAAAATATTTATTTAATCACTCCAATGTGCAGCTTAGATAAGAAATATTACAATGGGTAGCAACTACAATTTCATCTGTTTAACCACTGGCACTGGACATGTAAACCAGCCCACATCTTTTGAGAAAAGAGCCAGGGAGTTTCCTATTTGTTTTTGAAAATTACCAGAGTGAGATGCATGAAAGACTTTTTGAAATACCCTAAGAATGATGGTTTGAAGAATTTCAAAGTCTCATGAAGTTGATTTTACCTCATGAGGACTTTTAACCTCAGGAAAGGATGATTACTTAGGGTTCGCATATCAAACAGGAGATAAAATGACCTCAATTTAAATAATGTCTATGCAAAAAAAATTTTAAAAAGTAGGAAATAGCAACTAATCTATTAACTCTTTGACCCTAAGAGTGTCTAACATCTGATTTCACAAGAATAAAAGAAATGATCGCCAACTAAAGAAGCCCTTGACTGTCAAACAAATTATCTTTGTCAGCACCTAAGGATAAGTACAGAAAACAGAAAGTAGAATATGCATATCGATATGAGGGTGTAAAGAGCTAACCTTTTGCAGAGGGGTATTTCCATCAATTAATTTAAATTCTGATATCAACACTCAAACACGAAAATAGGCAGGAAAAGACCTGATTTAAAGTCACTAATCCAAGCCCTCAATCCTTGCCGGTTTCTCCCTCTGAACCCAAGACGCAGTTGTCAAAAGTATACCCACAAAGGCCTAGTCAACAATAACCCTAACCCATCACAAACCATGTTCTCCACACTGTTCCCATTACATTTCCTATGGTCTTGACAAGGAGAATTTGACAGTAAAGAGCTCCTTAAATCAGAGAAAATTACCTTTAATCTAATGACCTTCACATAATTTATGCTTTAAGGCTGATAATGCAAGGAGAAATTAGAAGCCAGTCATTCCTAGGGGTTACAAGACTGATTTTCATTGCATACAGTAAATGGCTGCCAGTAGGTTGGCTACCTTTGACGGTTAGTATTCAAGCGTCTTATCTCCGTGGGATTTGAAACTTAAAGTATGCTAACACTCAGTAATACCTGTTCCCACCATGTTCCCACCAATAACGTAGCTCCTTTTTCTGCCTTTAAAAGCACACACAACCAACAATTCCCCTATTCGCTCCGACGAAGGGCTAACGCTCGAAACGTCAGCTTTTATAATCGTAACGGTGGCCAATTTATCATTTCAACTTTGTTGATATATTCAAATTATTTCGTTACCCCCACCGACGCAGCCCCAAACCGTTTCTTTAGAAACTACTAGCCTTTATACAATGACTTTATACAATGATAATTTTATACAATGCCTTTATACAATGATAATTTTTACATTGATAGTGAACAGACGTAACATTAACGACGATGCTTGAAAAAAAATTCATTAGTGACACTGAAATGGAGTGGAAAAATATATTACCTCTAATAATGGAATCTTTCGAAATTTAGAGAAGGGATATTATAGGAGAGTCAAGAGATAAATGTTGTTGGGCCCGGATAGGTCTTTAAACTCTAGGCAACCGAGCCTCAAAATTAAAAACCGGGAAACGGGACGTGAATTGCCTAACATACTCTCCACCAATACTTGCCGCTTTTTATAACAGCAAAGTGTTAGTTTTACCTTCATAAACCGCATTGCAGCATCAACATACATTCATTAAGTCGCATAAAAGTTCGTGTACAGCTTTCTCAACTTGTCAGCCATTCAGAACTTTTCACATCACTGACTATGCGTACTTAGTTGGTCAGCTGACTCATCGCGGGCGTCACAGACAGCCTTGCGTGTCCATGTGTTTGCGAAGTGTCACGTATTTGACAGTTCGTGAATTAGTCTGAGGAACCTGCCATACGCCATAACGGGTATGAAACACGCAATCTTTTGCACGAATACAATAAGAAACGCTTTGTTAAGAAACGCATCACTTCTAGTGCCAAGGACAAAATTTTCTTAGCCGAGACACGCGATGTAAGATCAGAAGAAAAATACATTTTTCAGTTACGGTTTATTATGATTCGTTGTATCAGTGAGAGTTGGCTTTAATTTATTAAGCTCTTGACAAACAGGTTCGTGAGCAGTTCTTACGTGGTTTTATTTTGGGCAACGTGCACTAATAAGGGTAATCAGTTTATCCGCTTCAACTCAAACTCAACCGGCTTGAATCGCAAAATAGCACCCAACATTATTTTGTGTGTTGCAACGGAAAGTTGTCAGAAAAAGCTAGAACCTTTGCTTTGGTTAAAAAAACCCTCTTAAAAATTTCCTTCAAATATCTCTTTCCGGCGGCAACCCTCGAATTTTGATATTTCATTTTGGACTTATTATCCTATATTCCAGCAATGTTATTGACTTCCAAATCAATTACGGTCTAGCTCAAGACATAAAGCTTTGACCCGAATAACCCCGCTTAACAAGGAGCACACATGCAAAATATCTCATGCATGAAAAATTTCTGCTGTGATCAGAAAAATTTATTTGTTCAGGTGTTCAAATGCAAGATTGATCTTATACCGGACAAATATATTTTAAATGCTAAAATTTCTATAAATCCTCACGGTTTGCCTTGAGTTTCTTTTCTTTAGATGGAAGCTTCTTGATCATCTTTTAGACATTAACACGCATACTTAGGGGAAAGAAAAGCGTCTCTTGATATCAAGTGAATATTTTACAAAATCCCGGCTTCTTTGAAGTGAGATTTGAAGGAAGTTTCATCGGTTTTTCGTGACCTCTTCCCGCGATGTGACTGGCTGGTTGCATGCCCTCTTTCAATAAAACGCGACGATAGCATTTTGCCGCAAGAAAGTCACGAAACAAATAAAACGCATTTTTTCAGTTTAGATTTAAGGAGGATCAAATTTTTTTTGAAGAAAAGTCATTGTAGTTAAAGATTTACGTTGCGTGAGTGAAAGTTGAGAAAATTTTCTATGGTTTTCGGACCGTTCGTGACAGAAAATTCAAACGGCTGTAGGTTATTAATACACACGAATTCGGTGCCTGATTGGTCCGTGAGGAACTCTTTAACATAACTCTCGCTTCTCGTGAGATTAAGCTTTATATAACTCACACCACGCTTGGACTGCTTTTGAAGAAAACACCTCGCTGATTCGTGTCAAGGTTGCGTGTTCCTACGGGGCTTCGTCGCGGCGTCCATAACTAAGGCCATAACAGAATACATATGTGTTTTGTCATTTTCGGTAAAAGATCTTTGCCATGAAGAGATAAGATATTAACTTTACCATAACGACAACTTACTCAATCGATCGGGGCATTCCTTAAAATGACACGAGGCAGAGCTATCTTCAAGTAATTTGTTTGGTATCAGTTGGAAGATCTTGGCATTTTCTTCGAGTCATCCCTTTGACGGCTTCAGTGAGAGGATTGGAGGCTCATTCATTTTTCATCGTGCAATATTTCGTGTGGAACAACGTCCAAAGATTTCCGGTAGGATTCAAATTTATTTAGAACACTTTAACATTAATTGCGATGCATTATTCTCTAGTTTTACTGCATTTTCACCAAAACTAGTTATATTTCCAACACATTCAAGTTTGAGCAAGTATTTAAGGCAATTATGGCCTCGTCATGTTTGTACCTGGCTTTGAAACAAACCGTGGTATCAGTTTCTCCGTTTCAAGAGTGGTTAGAAAAGTGCCCTGTCCTTCTAATTTTAAAATATTTCTTCCTAAGGACATCCATAGTTCGTTAAAATCATTATCGTCTTTGTATTTTTGACATGATAGCTTTGATTATCTAAAGGCAAAAATTATGACACAATAGCCATTGCTTTGTAAACTTCCCAGTTTCTACAGAGAATTCGAAACAGATGTACATGTTCCAGAACCATCGCTTAACAAGGTTATTTTGGTCAGATATTTTCCTCAAAACCCCTATCTACGAGGAATTGAAACTGCCGAGTTTTAGAATGGCTCTACTTTTTTCTTGTTTGGTGTGAAAGGACCATGAGTAAATAAGTCTCCACCAGGCTTCGTGTTGCCTGCATGCAGCTGAATTTATTACATAAAAGAATTTCGTAATACATCATGGGCGAAAATTTTCGTTTTCTTTTAGATTTCTTCTTGATGATAAAATAAAATTGCCTCAAGTTTCGTCTACAGAAACGCAAATCTCGAGGAAAATAGCGTTAAATGGAAAATATTGAACGCCGATGCGGTTTCTCGCTAAAATTCAAAATGGCGTCCCAGTAAGAGGTCATGAGTCCAGCTATCAATCAATGCAGTTGTTGTGCTAAAAACATACTTATACCAAAATAGAAAGGCTTCTCCATTATTTTTAGGAAAAACAATCCAGTTTCTGAAATATTTCATGTAAATGATTTTAATGTGAGATTTAGCCACCGTCAGTATATGTTTAAACATCGTCGATAGAATCAAACGAGAAGGCTGTGTCTATAATTTCATTTGGTTTATTCTGTAAAAAATATTTGCAATGATAACGTCGTACTTTGCTTTGTTGGGTTGGCAATTTAGTAACTCGCGTAGTTGTTTTTCAGTTTTAAGTTCCTGTAAACAGGATACATCCCAAAACAGTGTGGACAAAATAACACCAATGACAAGAATAGCACAGGGACACAAGTTGTTTCCACTCGGGCTGATTTATCTCCAGGCTGCATTCAGATGCTTAAAATAACCTCAGATCACAATTGCCCAACTATGAAATTCAGGTGTTTCCTTTGTAAAGCTCGGTGTAAACAGGCAATGAATCAAAGGGCTTTTATATGGTGTCCCTAAAGCTGTAGAAGTTAGGCGAAGTCTTTCGCCCTGTGTTTGTATTACAGCAGAGGAAAGCTTAAAATTCAATCCTCGGAAATGTCAAGTGCCTAACATCAGCCTTAGGCTAATTGCACTTAAATTTCAATGCTTTATTTGTGTTCTGTAGATCGACCAGTTTTGAGAAAGAGTCGATATGTTTCACGGTAGAGGTTTATTACTTCACGACTTTCTTGAAACTTTGCGTCTCGCTGCATGATTCATGTGAAACATTTTTGGTGAGAACAAAAGATTCAGTGTTGTTTCAACCAGCTCAATCCTTTCAGTTCTACAGTGGCACGAAACGCATCTTTTAGACCAATTGAAGCATTCATTTCTAAAAGAGTTTTGGCCTTTTTTGTACTGTATCGATAAATCGAATATAAAATGGTAAAAATGCATACTTCGTCGATATAACGTCTCAATAATCCTGGGTAATATAAGCATAGAATGTATTTTTGTGGTTATCAGCCTTACTGGCTTGTCTGGGAGTTATGAGATAACTGCAAGTATGTTTTGGCTAATGTAAGTTAAAACCATTCCTAGAAAAAGGGTTATTTCTTAAAAAAAATCACGAGTGATAATTTAACAAGCTGTATTCATCTTCCTAAATACCAAGCCGATTCATAAATTTTGTCACAAGAGGAGCATCACGGTTTCACCCATGCTCTTGTCTGCTCTTCTGAAACCGGATCAATATTCACTTCAACGCTGCACACTTAACTATGGCATGAGTTGTCTAACTTCTCGCCCCTTTCAAGAGGTTTGTTCTTTAAAACGTTTGTTTATTTTTTCTTGGACGCAATGCTGCAAAAATAATAAAGTGGCCACAGGCTAAGGACATCATTTCTGGTTTCCAATGATGCGATTTCTCCTGGACTATTTTAGGAACGCATTTGATATGTCCGCCTGAACCCGTATTGTTAATGTTCTGCATAAAGAATTCTCACACTTGGATAAACGTTATATTGCTCTCAGACAGATTTATCATCAGCTCATGGCTTTGTACCCATCTGTATGTTGTGAATCGATATGAACAGTTGTATGGCTCGAGAGGAGGTTACTGAAAAAAGGTTTTCTTCCTTCTTTTGGTTAGTTTAATATCCTTTTTCTGACAGATTTGATAGATACGCCCTTTCAATCTAGTCGATTCTTGGTCTGGAAGTCAAACACCCCATTATGAAAAGTTTTCAACAATATGCCATCACCTTTTAATTTCATATTTCGGCAGTCTGGTGTCTGATAGGTCAAATATATCTTAATTTTGAATATGCGACCTGTTTGGAAAGCCTTAACTGAAAACGTTGCTTTCTGGAAAGATCTATATTCTTTCCATTTTACCTCCATTACTTGGACAAAAGCCACGCAACAAGAATTTTAATGAACACTTAATAGAAACCCCTAATTTTTGTATTTCAAGATACATAATTACTCTGAGATAACACAGCCTGAATTAATGAGCTGAGGTGGCCGGCTAATATTCTAAGAGAACATAAAACAAATCATGTTTATTTTCACAGTAAATTTTTCCAACTTAAGCAACTGAATGTGTCCGAGATAATTTTTTTAATTGTTATGTCTTTCTAAACGAAAATGGAAAATTGCCACGATGTCCTTAGGGCCATCAGAGCATAAAAGGCAACAGAATTTGAAATTCGTCTGACAATTAGAGGTTGGACTATTCAAGCCCACGTTCTGGGAAAGTGTTTTTGCCAGGGATTTAGGATAATCTTCGGTACGATTAATTAAAGCCTGGGCGGGCCTGATATGCATTATGCCGCTGTAAATGACACGCGATCTCATTTTTAAAGAAAGCTTGAGGAAAACAAGCCTACCCCCTGTACCACGTTGAACTGACAGAAAACTTGCATAGCCCACCTTTTACGTTGG